GATTTTGTGTATTGGGATTTTGTTGCCGGGATTTTGTGTGTTGGGATTTTGTGTGTCGGGATTCTGATATACAACCAGTTTTTTTTCTGGAGCTAATGGTTTTTTGATAATATTAGATTTTTTTTTATATATAATATCAAGTAAAAACATATATTTACAACCTTTATTCTTAGGTCCACAATTTTTATCTTTAGGAGAGATTATAGACAATCTCCACTATAGACCTTTTTGTTCAAATTGGTGATTATTTTCTGAAAAAAATTAAACTATACCTTATTGTATTAATTGTCGAATTCAAACAGTATTAAATTTACAAAAATTTACTATAAGAATTGTTAGAGGTGATTAGTATGGTTTTAAACTGGGCTTTATATATAAAAATGATTTGCAAAGTCAAGTTCATTCTTCAATTTCAATGGCTATTAGTACAATGTATCAAAAATATTTTTTATGAAAACACATATATCTGAACCTGCTGCTTTAAGATTTAATAATGACCAAATTATTAATCAATTGTTACTTGATATTAAATTTATACCAAAATATAATGATATTAACATTTTAATTGTAAACTTAAAGTCTTCTAAAAACATTGATCTTGCATATGCAGAACCTAATTACCTTGCTACATTTACAAAAAAAATTGGGGGCATACAATGATTAATAGTACAAAAGATTACCAATGAAAATGAGTGTATTATTATGATATATCAGCAAGAAAAGCTTATGATCTTACAAAAGGATACCACTCCTATCATAGCTTGGTGGCAAATGACCTTTCTTCAGAATTATAATGGCTTGTCTTTATTTGGTCTTGAAAATTCTAAAGTGCAACAAATGTTAAATAAAAAAAATATAGCAGTAAAATACAATATTTTGCATTTGAATAATTTTGACATAATAGAAGAATTATTTGAGAAACATCTTTATAACCAAATTTCTACTACAAAAATAAATTGGTATTAGTTTTTTATTTTGTGGAAGGATCAAAAAAGTACCATTATCGAATTAGTATCTTATCTTTTATAATTATATTTGGATACATATTTATTTACGAATAGTGAATTACATGCTTGGAGGTCAATGTTGCAAAGTGCTGGCTGCACAAATATTACACCATTTTCTAAAGGAGAATCACAGGTTAAATTATTTTTATATATATTCATTAAACATTAAAACTTCTATAAGTGCACTTCTATAAGTGCATATTCTCTCTAAATATATACTCAAATTTTATCCAAATATAGTTTTCTAAGTGTATATTGTTAAGTTTGTTTCCAAAAATATGTATTTATAGAAGTTTTACTATAATTAAATTTTTTAAAAATTACTTACTATTTATTTATTAAATAGCTTGAATTTTGGTCATGCGCATTAGATCCAGTACTAGACCAAGAAACACTAGCCAATTTGTATAATACCAGGCTGTTTAATACGTCATCTAAAATTCAAAAAAATATTGAACATGAATTAACTAATACTGAAATTCTTTTTTGGCAAAGTTTTTCAAATTCTCTTGACAAATATAGAAAAAGAATTGATAGAAAAAGATGTATTTTATCTGTTATAGCTAAGAATTTTGGTCCTAAATAATTGCATGAAAATTTAAATATTAGTACAGTAAAACTTCTACAAGTGCACTTTCTATAAGTGCATATCTTCTCTAAATACATATTGTTACAAGGGTATGTATTTATAAAGATTTTACTATAATAAAAAAAATTTATAATCGAAGTATTAATATTTTTATTTTTTTTTTTTAGATTTCTAATAAATTGATATTTGCAGCAAAACAATATGTAAGAATAAATAGACCCAGTTGTTCTGCAGCAAAAAAGCCTGTAGGTACAAGGCTATGCATTTCAGATGTTCAAGATAAACAATTTAAAACTTTTTTTGCAAATAAGATCAATATTAGTATGAGCTCTTATACTGTTGACAAAAAAACTGGTTTACTACTCTTATATTTAAAAGATAATAAACAATCTTTCTGGAATAAATTTGAAGTTATTTACCCTGATGGAATTAAATGGACCTCTTTTATAGCAAGGTTAAGTAACAGTAGATATGTATATCGAAATGATCTTGGGGGATTATGTAATATTTGCCATAAATATGGTTATAGTGTATTTGATTCTTTAATTAGTCTAATTCAAACAATTATTAAAGAACAAACTATACAGATTAGTAAAAAAAAATAGTATAAGATTTATTTATTTTATAACAATACTAATATTTAAAATTTTTAATATTAATAAAGTATTAGTTTATTAACAACATAGAAATATTACATTATCATTTTTACTGAAAATTTAAACAGAACTTACTGTAAATTTAGATAGTACAAGTTCACATATTTCATGTATTAATCATTGTTTAATGTTTGAATTTGGTGAATATATAGAAGAACATAACTACCAATACAATCATTGTAATACTTTTTTTTTATTGTTTGAAAATTTAAAAGAAGCATTACCTAATAATTATTATGAATTATTATTAAAGCAAAAAGAGAAACTTACTTATTTTTTTGCTTATCAAGTATACAAAATCTATTTGAATAGTCAATTTAATGCAGTATTATTAAAATTAGATAATAAAGGTGCAATATTTTTGGCAGATTATAAAATGAGAATTTTAGAAAAACATGTATGTAAAACTAAACAATAATTTTTTGGCAAAAGAGGATAAACTTTATATACCATCTTAGTTACAAAAAAAGATACCAATGTGGAAGTACAAGCTTTTGATCATTGGTCTTTAGATACCAAACAAGATACATGGTTTACAGCATCTTCTTTTGATTCTGTATTTGAAACTTTAGATTCTAAACCCAAGTGGATTAAAATATTTTTAGACAATAGTGCACACTATCACAACTCAGAAAGATGGCAATAGTTGCTAATTGGTATTAGTGGTACTTAATTGAAGTTAGAAGTTGATGTTTTTTTGAGCCTGAAGAAGCAAAATCTTTAGTAGATTCCCATCATGCAACGGTACAAATAATTGTTGTAGCTGAAGTTAAAAATGTCTAAAGCTAAAAATTTTTAATATTTTAATGTGAAATTTTCAAAATTTTTGAGAAGCATTTTTTAGTATTTTTTTAATAGTTAGGTTAAGATTTAAGATTAGGTTTGATAATAAAAGAGTATAAGTGAATCTTGTTAGGATATATATTTTTAAATCAGGGTCCCTAATTTCTAGCTTTAGCCTTTTATCTTTAGTTGTGAAGGGTGTAGCAGGCTCTAAAGTTTTATTATTATTATTATTATTATTATTATT